GTCATAAAAACAGCAGCAGTAGGAAAGCAGCGACACAGCCAATCCATTTCTCTGGAGCATTTGGTCTCCAGTGACTGGTGACAAGGCTGGAGTCTAAAGGCAATCTAGGAAGCCATCTGCTCTGTTCAGTTTGGCCAGACCAGCACACACACGTTGACTGGGCCATTTGCTGGGTCACAAGGGCCAGCTAAGAGACAAACCCCTCCCAGACAGTCAGTGTCCAGAGAAGCTGTGCCCATTAGGAGCCCAGAGGAGTCCAAAACAACACGCAAACTCTCTGTCCACACCCTTTGCCTCTTGATTGGCTTTGCTTCATATCTCTTCTTGGTAGCTTGAATGATGGCAACTTCCTGCTTCATCTCAAGCCGCTTTTTCTCCTGCTCCCTCTGCACCTCTGCCAGGAAGTGTTCCCATTGCTCCAGCAGCTGCTGTGCCTGCAAACGCTGTCGTTCCATCTTGTTTGCCTGCTGAGGGGAGGAAAACACTTCCAGATGAAGTCCCAGCCAAGCTCCCCTAAAAAACAGTGCAAGCCGCATGCCTCACACAACCCCCCCATCTGCAAAGTGCACATTAGGAATGACTTTGTGCCTTCCAGCAATGCTGTCCTAACCAGAAGTTTAGGAGGGGGATTAGCAGATGGGAAAAAAGGAGATGCCACCTTCCTCTCCTGTTCTGATGTCTGCCTGTTGTTTCCTGGCCCCTCGCTCCTCAGGGTGTCTGCCTGTTCTCAGAGGCTCTGTTCTCCAAGTGCTGAAGTTGTCCTTGCCATCTCCTCTGTTTCCTGCATTACTTTGCTGCAGGGATGGCAGCAGTCGGGCTGTCAGAAGAGGCCGAAGAGAGGCTTGGCTAATTTGAGAAATGGATGCTGCCCAAGAAAGAGAAACAAAAGAAACCAAATTACAAGAGACAAAGGCAAAAGAAACCATTCTTTTCCAAACTGAGCTCCTAACAGGCTCAAGCTGGTTTCCTCTAGTGCCCAGAAATGCACAGACACAAGCAGCAAAGTGCAAATAGACTCAGTTCTCTTCTTGGCTTGTCCTTGCCAGTAGCAGGGGGTTTGGACTAGATTAACTTCAGTGGTCCCTTCCAAGCTCAACCAGTCTTGCATCCTGCTTGGTTTTCATTTGAAAAGCAACCAGAGCGGAGATTACTATGGCGGGGAAGTGGCCTGGTCACCAGCTCCCTGTCTAACACAAAAGCTGGCAGCAAAGCCGCAGCACTTCTCACTGACTTGACCGGGCCAGGTAGCACATGGGGCTGGCACAAATGCTGCTCAGCTGTCCTTGTTTGGCTGGCAGCAACCTCGAAGAGTGGGGCAGGAGGGACAAGCTGGGTCCCCTCTGAGGCTCACAGTCAGCCTCCCACAGCCCCTGCCTTCCCACAGATCAACCTAGAACCGCTTGGCAGGGACTGCTTTCGTTGTGTTTTCCAAACCCCACTGTGGGCCTCTGTCCCCAGCATTGCGATACTTCAGTTCCTTCGCTAGCAGGTAAACCTGAAAACAGCACCCGAGAGCAAAAGAGGGCCTCAGAAATGACCAGAAGCTGGGAGCTCTCCTCTGAGGAACACCTGTGAGAACTGGGCTTCTTTGGCCTGGAGAAGGACAAGCCCCAAGGAGACAAGTTCAATAATTGAAGGGGCTTTGGAGAAAGATGGGGACACATCTAATTAGCAGGGCCAATTGCAAGAGACAAG